AAATAGGGAAGGGTGGAGGGCGTGAAGGGAGAGCTAGGAATGGGGAAAAAATAAGAACCAAGATGCATTATATAAAGGTACAATTCCCAATGAGAAAAAAAAAAAGAAATTGGTCTACAGTTTTCTTTTTTAGTTGGGTCCTTGTTTGGCTTTGGAATCAGATAATACTAGCTTCCAGGAATGATTTTAGGAGTACTCCCTCCATTTTAATTTCAACTCTGATATCTCTACATTGATTTTTTGTCTAATTTCACTGTTTGTGATAGTAGAGTAATGATATTCCCTACTATAATTCTGTTGATGTTTATCTTATCTTTTATGTCCAGTAGTGCTTGTTTTATGAAGCTGGGTGCATTGGTGTTCTGTGCATACATATTTATAATTTTTATCTCTTCCTATTGAAATGTTCACCTAATCAATATGTAGGCACCTTCTTTGCCTCTTCTAATCAGTTTTGGCTTGAAGTTCTCTTTGTCTGAAAATAGGATAGCTACTCCTGATTGTTTTGAGGCTTCATGGAATATTGTTTTCTATCCTTTGATATTCAGTCTGTAAATTTCTTTTTAGATTAAATGTGTTTCATATATACAGCATACCACTGAGCTTTGTTTTTTGATCCATTCTACCAATATGTGTCTTTTGATTGGGGTGTTTCGTCCATTCATACTTAGAGTTATTACTGAAAGTTATTGACTTATTCCTGTTGTTGCATTATTTTCCTGTTGATGAACCTTTTGTTTTTCCACTTCTGCTCACTATACTTGATTTAGTCATTCTATTACACTTTTGGTATTGTTGGCATCACTGTCTCTTTCTAGGATACCTTTGATAATTTTTTGAATTGTTGGTGTAGTGATCATAAATTTTTTAAGGCGCACTTTGTCACGGAAAGCACTTATTTATCTAACCATATTGAAAGATAGTTTTGGAGGATATATTAGTCTGAGTTGGATTTTTTTTTCTTTCAGGCTTTTTCTTAGTACAATAGTGATTGTACTAGTTTATCTTCCCGCCAACAATGTAGAAGGGTTCCTTTTCCCCTGCAGCCTCACCAGCATTTGTTATTATTTGATTACTTGATGATGGCCATTCTCTCTGGGATAAGATGAAATTCAGGGTTGTTTTAATTTGCATTTTTGTAATGAAAAGAGAGGCTGAGCATTTCTTTTTGTATTTATTGGTCATTTGTACTTCTGTGAAGTGTATATTCAGTTCACTTGCCTATTTTTTGATTTGTTCTTTTAGTTTTGGGGTCTAATATTTTTTGAGTTCTCTATATATTCTAAATATTAGTCCTCTGTCTGAAGAACGGCTGACAAAAGCTTTTTTCCATTCTATAGGTTTTCTTTTCATTCTTTGGTTATTTCTTTTGCTGTACAGAAGCTTTTTAATTGGATATAATCCCATCTGTTGATTCTCAATGCTATTTCCTGTGCAACTGGTGTTCTTTACCAAAAGTCTTTGTCTACACCTATGACTTCATGAGTTTTACCTATTTTATCTTCCAGCAGGTTAAGTATTTCTGTTTTAACATTCAGTTCTTTAATGCATTTTGATTTCAGATTAACACATGGTGAGAGATATTGGTCTAGATTCAATCTCCTGCATGTGGTTAACTACTTTCCCCAATCCCATTTATTAAAGAAATTATATTTCCTCCACTGTATGTTTTTGACCCCTTTTTCAAAGATCAAATAGTTGAATGTGTTTAGGGTTGTTTCTGCATCCTCTATTCTGTTCCATTGACCTTCATGTCTGTTTTTGTGTCACTAGCATTGTTTTGTTTTGTTTTTTTTAATCACTGTAGCTTTATAACTTCAAGTCCAGGATTGTGATGCTTCCCACTTTGTTCTTATTATCCAGGATTGCTTTTGATATTCTAGGTCTCTTCTGGTTTCATATGAATTTTAGGATTGTTTTGTCCAGTTCTGTAAAGAATGCTGTGCGTATTTTGATTGGGATCACTTTAAATCTGTATGTCAATATTGGAAGCTTGTCCATTTTGACATATTGGTTCTTCCTATCCAGAACCAGGGGATATAGTTCCATTTTCTAATATCCTCTTCGACTCCCTTTTTCAATGCACTGTAGGTTTCAATGTAGAGGTCTTTCACTTCCTTAGTTAATTCCTAAGTCTTTAATTTTTCTTGGTGCTATTGTTAATGGTATTTTTTTCACATTTCTCTCTCAGTTGGTTTATCATTAGTGTACAACATCATTAGTTTTGTGTCTTCAGAATGGAAGCTTCTTTAAGCTGAAGACCATGTCTTTTAGTTCTCTGTATTCCCCAATATCCTTAATAAGTGTTCTATAAATTTATTTTAGTCATTAAATGGATGATAAACATATAAACATTAATAGGCTAGTCAGAAACAATATTTAGATGAGGAATCAAGCCTCTTTCCTTTCCAAAGGAAATCAATGATCTTCAACCATCCTAAGCAATGCTATTGTTTATTGGGGGCACATCAGGACAACGTATGCCCCCAAAGTGGACTTGGAATGGACTTGCAATAGAAGCACAGAAATTTTCCAATGCAGCTCATGGACAATGCAGTTACTGGAAGGTGGAATTCCAAACTAGAAAACATGGATGAACTGATATAGACTTCAGGAACATTAAAACTTGATACCTACAACTTTGTCAAATAACTGCCCCTGTTGATAAGTTAACTTGACTCTTCTGGTACAGCAATTCTATTTATGCCCAGGCCTAGGTGTTTATGTAGGCCCTGTACTATGGTTGCTAAAAGTAGCTGCAAGAGCAGTTGACCTTTCCCCAACCTGCTGATGTCCATCTGCTAATGGCCAGGCATATCAGGGGCTCTGACCATATACCCCCAGAAGTCTTCTTCCAGTGCCTGCTCATTAGCCCCTTTTACAGCTGGCTAGGACTGAGCAGAAAGGGAAAAGCAGCTGGAAGATCTGCTTTATAGCCAACCTCACTTGGAGTGACATATATTTAACCTTGCTCAGTTTTCTAAAATGAGAAGGATAGAGATGCTGCTATGTGTGTTTTGCGGGTTGTTATTGTGGACGCAACCTTGAAATCGGCCTTGCACAGAAGAGCTTTTAGATAAGCTGTGGCACACAGGAATTCTGAAATAATGCAACAAAACCTCTTTTTTTTTCAAAATGGCTTTCATTAAAAATTAGCACTTTAATACAATGCCTAGCACACCCTGAGTGTTTTCACACATGCATACATGTGTTTAGGCAGGAGAAAGAAAGACCGAGACAGTTTTGATCTTTCATTATAAAAATGTCCATAATATTTCATTACTTGAAGAAAATCATGTTACAAGCCAAATTTTTTGGAAAAGATATTCAAAGAATATACTAAAACATTTAAAGTGATGATCTAAGGGCCGAGGATTTAGCTCAGTGGTTCCAGGGCCTGCCTTGCAAGCGGGAAGTCCCGAGTTCGATCCCTGGTACCAAAAAAAAAATTAATAAAAAAATAAAGTGATGATCTATGAGGTGAAATTATGGGTATTTTACCTGTATCATCACTTTTTTTGTTGTTAATCATTTTGTCTACTGTAAACATTCCTTAATCAGAATATGAGAAATAATTCAAAAACAGGAAAGAAATCTTTGAGTCTTTCTCTCTTGCCATAGTTCTTCAAAAATCTGTGACATCTACTTTCTGACGTCAAGACATCTGATCTTCCTATAAACGCCACGTACCTTTGAAGATCTGCTGCAGCATTCCTGGGTAAGGAATCAAGTCTTTCTTCTACATTTCTAAAGATTTAGACCTGAAAAAAAAAACAAAAAAACAAAAAAACACTACAACAACTCAGGACCCAGTCTCTGGCCAGTCTCGAAGCTAAATAGCAATCTTTTTCATCTGTACTCTCAGATATGTAAGCCAGGATCCTGTATGTTCCACTAAACAAAAGAATTGGAGCATTGTTTTTACAGTTTTCCAGTTGTATAATGTAAGAACTGAACATGTATTTGATTCTAAAATAAAAGAAAGAGAAACAAAGGTCAGAGGGTGATTGGCTTTCCTGCTCCATGAAAAAGAACAAGGTGATGCAGGGCGACATGTAACAGCAGGGCATGAGAAATGGCATAGCGGTATCCAATTGTAATTAACCTTTGGAGCTCCGTGCCCTATAATGTTACTAAGGTCAGTATTTTAGCTGGCTTTCAAAAATAGTGTTGGAAGGTACCATACATTCAAACTACAATCTACAATTACACCAGGTATGCTTACAATTATTAGCACCATCCATCTCCCTAGACATGGGCAGAAGATTTGGGTTTAGTGTTGAGAAAGCACTTTTATGCTCATACATGCAGCTTGGGTGCAAGCTCTTTTGTTGGACAAAGAAAGGATGTGATAGGAGTCAAAGTCACTTATAATATTGAGCACTTTACTGTCCAGAAAATGTTCTCAGTTACATGTCCATATGATTTTTTTTTCTTAAATTCTTTTACTGGTACCTTTTAGGTATACAACACAATAACATTTCTCATTGAGAACTTGTACCTTTACATTATGCATCTTGGTTCTTATTTTTTTCCCATTCCTAGCCCTCCCTTCACCACCTCCACCCTTCCCTATTTACAAAGACTTTATT